ACAGGTGGTCTGGTATCTAGACTGAATCTGGGGCCCGGATGGGCTGCCCATATGCTACATGCGCAATGAAGTTGTCACACGTACAGTATTGATGTGTATATCAATTGTTTTATTGCATGGGTTTTACTATGTCATGCACCATTATTATAAAGCATGGGACTGCTGCCTCGAGTGGGGTCAATATGGGCTGAACACGGGCTAGCTGGGCTCACCTCCATAGAGGTTGCGGACGGGCTGGTGTTTGACACATATACATTAGGGTAGTTACTTTGTGCTCTTACGTTGGATTTTTACTCATCGTGTAGAAACGAGTACATAACAAAGGATAACAGCACGGGTTGAGGCTCACATGGGATGCATGTGGACAAGTTGGGCTCATGTCACCATGGGTGGCAGGTGGGCTGGTCTTTGAGTTCCATGTCGGATCCGGACGGGCTGCTCATACACTATCATATTTTACACTAGTGCATCAATTTTTGTACTTTGTTCTCTATGGTTCGATATTTTCTGATCGTGCACCCGCTAGTTTGCAACAAGAGTAAGCGGCATAGACTCGAATCCAAATGGGCCGCAGGTGCACAAGCCGACCTCATGCTAGCATGGGATGCAGGCGGGCTGTCGTCTGGGCACCACTGGGGTTCAAATTGGCTGCAAAAATACGCTAGCATCTTGACCATGTGTTTAATAATCTTCGTGCCGTGTGCTCGCTGGTTCGGTTTTGCCATGTCATGCACAGATAAGGACAGCTGCTATGGACCTCATCCGCGTGGGCTGCGCGTGGCCAGCTTAGTTCACGTTAACATTAGCCGATTCACTGTCATGTCACTTGAAGTGGCTGATGTGTTCCCTGTCGGAAGTTTGTGCGCGAAACGCATTGAGTTAGTCCTCTATTCACCTTCCACTGGTTGATGGATGGTTGGCCGCGTTTGGAGCTCCCCCGGCAATTACCGGTGTCCCGCTGACCGGCCACCCGCTGGGATCTCGGCGGTGGGGAGTGAGGGGTTCGCATCCCTTCAGCGGCGCAGAGGTGCCGGTCAGCGGACCGGCTGACCAGGTGGGCCGGCTGGCCTGGTGCGCCGGCAGCGCCGAGCACACCGCCAACCACTGTCTTCTGTAATATTGGTCACAGTTTCTGGCGGTTGCACGCAACTGATTAGATGCAGTTTCTTTGAGCTGCTTGGTGCTCAAGAAAGGCACAGGCCCAGGCTGTCATGCTTGAATTTATCGACAGCTTTAGTGTCGAAAGTCCGACATGGGCGACTCGGCTACCAATATCGAGCGTTCGATTGGGTGCTATCTCCAACCAATGTGGATAACCTGCAACCAACGCTCCCAGCTGACAAAGGCTGCCTGGTCATTCCATTGCCTACGATTTAGCTGCACCAGTTTTTGATAAGCTAATTAATGAATTTGCATCCAGTGGCATTCATAAGCTAGGGAAGTATTCAGATACCTCATCGCATTGCGTCTTTAACCTTCGTCCCAAATTCGCCGCTTTTCATGAAGATGGGGAGCGGTCGATGCCTTTGCCAAACTACGACAGAGACAATCCTGCCGAAAATCCAGCGGGTTGAACCCAACCATATCTCACAATTGGTAGCCAGTTTGATGGCTTTGTGTTCATATTTGATCCGACTAGGACAGATCAAATGCCAATTTTCCTGGAAACGATGCTGTTCAGCTTTATATACGCATGTTTACGTAGTAATCCTGCTTAACTGCATACAACTTACAAAAACGTGCTTTTTGTGTAATTCTCAGTACCACTGACGGATATACATGGGTGTATGGATTACCCACAGTTGGGTGTGTTTTGAACATATTTTTATTACGCATGGCTTTGTTGACGTAACAGTGCTGGCCGCCCCGCGCCAAGGGCGAATCCGTTGGTTGCCGCCCGCCGTCCGCGCCGACCTTGGATTACCATGCAGCATTCCGACAAGAACTTTGCTTTTCAGAAATCAGATTCATAAAAAGCTTTTGATGTCAAAACACACACAATAAATAGTCATGGAATGTTGAAACATTCGGCGTGCTTGCACGTTCCAGAGAGATATCCCCAGAAACTTCTGGAAGGGGAAGGCGAAGGGTGCATCACCCTCCGATTAGCAGAGTGAGGGTTAATGATTATAACTGCGAATCCATGTTAAGGTCGGCGGTCCTATGTACAACATGGACGTGTCGAAAGCATGTGTGGCTACGTCCAATGCAGCATGATTTAAAAGAAGAAAAAGTGATGATAAGCTATTGTTTGACATGTTTGCCACTTCAAAGCTGTATGTCGCTCTAAATGAGTATCAGTGGATTATTTTAGATTTAGAGCCAGCCGTTCAACATTACTTTTGCAACCAGAAATATCTTTTTAGCAAAGGCTCATCTGCGGATGTCTCTGGGACCATCACATTTAAAAATGATCTGCGAGGTGAGGGAGTGAAAACAGACATCATCAGTTGCCGCCGCCAGCTGTCAGATGGCTGCCTTCATCTCATTTGTTGTATGCTTTTAATTCGTTGTATTCACATGCCATCCAGACTCGTTAAAACTAAACAATGCTGCACTGTCACACAGATTATCTTTTGTAGATTTTTGCATGATGAACTTTTTGCATGATGAGCTTTTTACAACGCCTATGTTGTTCTCCTGTACTTAGGCATACAAACTTTATCGCAAGAAAAATTGCTGCGCAATCATTTCTATGCGTACTTTTCACCTCAGCAGAGATATTGACGCAGCCGCCAGCTGACACCTGAGGAGTATTGTCTCTGCTTGCGGAAAAAGTACGTGTGGAAAAGATCGCGTAACAACTATTTGCAAGTTACAAGTTTGCAAGCGTAAAGTCCATCAAGATAAGCTGCGCACGGTATCAGTTTCATACTGTGAAAAGATCCTTACGTAAAAACCTTGCTTGGGAAGACAGAAGTCTGAAAAATGTTCAGTACGGAACTGCTTGCACCGTAAACGTTCGTGTGGATAAGTTCGTTTACAGTTGTTCCCATGAATGAAGCTTGTCTAAAAAGACTACCTACGCCTCTTAAGTCTTTTGGCACTTCACCATGTCACCGTGTTTAGGGAAGGACGGGTATCGACTATGGCGTATCGATTGATCAAGGTTTCATGGTGATCGGTGACATACCTTTGGAAAAGGGGTTTGTTTGTCTTCAGTCAATTTTGGTGGTTTGGTCGTTTTAGTCACCTTTAATCTGAGGTTTCATAAGATTTCATGGCGATCAGTGCCATAGACTCGGAGTACGGAGTTGTCTTGAGCCAATTTTGGTAGTTTTCAGCATTTTTGATGACCTTAGGTCTCACTTTAAGTCACCAAGTTCTCGCGATAATAAGTTATCGACCATGGCATATCGATTGGTGACGATTTCGTGCCGATCGGTGCCGTAGGCTGGGAACGTGGATCGTCTGCCAACTTATTTTTCCATTTTTTGTATTTATGTTGATCTTTGACCTAACCCAAGGTCACCATATTTGAGAAGGACAGGCTATCGATCACGCGGCATCGAATGGCTAAGGTCTCATGTCAATCGGTGCTATACTCTCGGAGCATGGACTGTCGACAGATTTGGTTGGCCGTTTAGTCCCTCCCGCGCGCATCCACTTTCTCCCAGCAGCCGACCGGCTGACCGAGACTCGGCGCCGCGCCTCCCGGACGCCACGGCCGGCCGGCGCCTCCGGCTCTCGTGCGAGGCTTCACCGCCACGCCACATACCCCGATGTTTTTACGCCGTCGCCGGGCGTAGAGCTCATAAAAACGCGCGTCATGGAAAGCAGGGCAGAGCGCCACGTTGAAATGAACACTGCTTTGACGCAGCTGGCTACTCGGACGAAGTAAGTGCGGTCCGGCCGAACCTAGGTCCGGTCGGGGTGTGCCCAAGATGGCTTGTGTTACTGTTCTTGTACTGTTCTCTGTTGTATGAACTGATCCTGCCTCTCTCGTCCTTTGTCTGTACCGGTTCTACAATATACCCTTGAAAACCATGGCCTCGTCTGTGTCTGTTTCGGATCGAACTGACCGGAATGATATCCCATGGGCGTACGAGGTGGTCACACACGGGTAAGATAGTCGAGCGAAGACCGTACTAAAGTTATCATATCGGGAATGATAGCAGAAAACTGGATGTTTTGCGGGGCGCTGCTGTTCATGAGGAAATTTTGGACAAATACATGGTGCATAACCCTTGACCTGGAATATTACGGATGATATGAAGCAGCTTGTTTAGAATCACGGGCGTCCGTCAACCACATGAAATTTGAAAGAGCACATCTATAAAGCATAAATGGGGCCAATCTTGGGTAGTTAAAAATGTCCTATCTGGACTTGTTATATGGATCCCACCTGGGCTGGTTATATGGGCTCCAGCTAGACATATCCATGTGGGCCCCAGCTGAACATGCCCATGTAGGTCCCAACTGGGTAGCCCAGGTTGGCCTCATGTGGGTCGTAATTAGGCCACGTGGTTGCCAGATGGATGCCCATGTGGGACCCAGTTAGCTTCCCATGACATGCCTACATGGTACCAAAATGGGCCTTAACTAGGCAGCCCAAGTAGGCCCCATGTGGTCCCAGTTTGACCTCATATGGACCCAAGGTGGGCTGTCCATGCGGGACCCAGGTGGTAGTCCATGACAAACCCACATGAGATCAAAGTGGGCAGCCCTGATGGGCCCCATATGACTGCCCATCTCGGACCCGCATGGGTACCAGTGGGACATGCTGGCCGGGACGGGACTTGACTTGAACAAAATAGCCTTGATCGATAACGTCGGTATCTTACAACAACTTAATAGCGTCTCACTCCCAGACTTACATGTGATAGCCAAGGTGGTTAAAACCAGCAGGTGAGCTATGATTCATCGGAGAACTGCGCGGGATCACGCGCAGCGCCTGCTGAAGGGAAGGCTCCAGTGACGTCATGCTAACGTTGAGCAGATGGGGCAGCAAAATCGCCAGATGATCGTACCCCATTGCACGACCTTGGATTGACGGACCGCGAGCGTACCGCGGGGTTAGGTGATGGCAGGGGTTGTGCTAGCGGTTTCGCGTACGTGAGTTTGTTGTGTACGTCTGCAAGTCTTCATTTTGTGCTTGAATAGATGCAACGGATCATTTTTGAAAGTTTCAAAAGCTTGTACGGTATCTAAGAGACCATGGCTGCGGAGCGAGTAGGGCGAAGGAATCAAGACCTGGAAGACCTATCCAACGTCGAATTCGAAACCAGTGAAGATGTGGAAGTTGTACCTACGTTTGATAATATGAACCTCCGTGAGGATCTTCTCCGTGGGATCTACGCATATGGTACGTATTCTGGCTTTTTTTTACTTGGGTACCTGTATTGCCGACGGTGGGGAGAGCTACGCTGGCTGCAGGGTTCCTGTACTGCCGTGATGGAGAAATGCTGTCAGGTATCAGCCGACGTAGTGACGTCACTGAAAATGGGTTTCCATCGATCGGGGTTCTTTTGGGCCAACTGAAGGCTACAAGGCATTTGCTAGCGATATGATGTCACTGGTATTCGACTGGATGTGTGACGTCACTGGTTGTGAGGCTTTAGGGATCTTTTGGGTGTAATGAATGCCGTAAAGCATCACCTGACGATATGTCGTCGCTGGCATTCAATGAAACATCAGGCGCAACAGGCCTTATTCCATCTTTACCTTTCGTACCTGTCTGCTGCAAGCATTTGCGTGTCGAATAAAAGCTTGACCGAATCACCTGAATGCGTGACGTCACTAATCATCACTTGATACGAGTGCACTTAGGCCCCACGGCCGCGGTGTATCATGTTCCGTGAAACATCACCAGGTATCGTGACGTCACTGATATTCGACTAAATGTTGGTCGCAACAGGTCATGCTTCATTTTTACCTTCGTACCTGTCTACCGCAAGCACTGGCGTGATGAATAAAAGCTACCAAATCACGTGAGTGTGTGACGTCACTGGTCATGCATTTTTATGGATCTTTGGGGGCCAACTGAGAGCCGTAAAGCATGACCTAATGATGTGACGTCACTGGCATTCGACTGTGTATGATGTCACTTGTGATCAGATTTTACGGCCTCTTTTGGGCCGACGAAAGGTCATACGACATTAACTGAAGATGTGACGTCACTGGTATCCGAATAAAATTCAGGCGGGACAGGCCATGCTTCATCTTTACCTTTGGTACCTGTCCATTGCAAGCATTTGAATGCTGAAGGAAGGCTCTGCCGAACTACCTGAGTGTGTAACGTCACTAACCATTAATTTATATAGACTGCTTTGAACCTACCGTAAGCCACACCACATCAGCTGACCATATGACGTCACCGGTTTTCGTCTAGATGTCATGCGCAACAGGCCATGCTCTATCTTTGCCTTTCGTACCTGTTCACTGCAAGCATTCGCGCGCTATATCGAGGTGGTGCCGAACCATCTGAGTGCGTGACGTCGCTGGTCATGAGTTCATACAGGCTCACTTGGGCACCCCAATGCAACAAAGCATCATATCCTGTGAAGCATCGCGGGATGATATGACGTCACTGGTATTCGACTCAACATCAAGCGCAACAGGCCATGTTCCATCTTTACCTTTCGTACCTGCCTACTGCAAGCATTCGCGTGTTATATGACGTCAATGGTCAAGAGCTCTTACGGGCTCTTTCAACCCCCTATATGGTATAATGCTTCAGCTGACGATATGATGTCACTGGTGTTCGACTTAACATCAGGCACAACATGTCATGTTCCATCTTTGCCTTTCGCACCTGTTAAAGTATCGGCGAGCCTAATGATGGCTCTGTCGAATCACCTGAGCGCGTCGTCATGAGTTTTTACAGGCTATTGTTGGCCGAGTGAAAGCCATAAGGCATCATCTAATGATGTGTCGTCACTGGTAATCCACTAAGTGTGTGACGCCATTGGTCATGAGTTTTCCCGGGCCTTTTTCGGCCGACTTAAGGCCATTAGGCACCAGGCAACGATATGGCGTCATTGGTATTCATTAAGCATCAGGTACAATATGTCAAGTTCATCTTTACCTTCAGCACCTATCTACTGCAAGTATTCGCGCGCCACATAAAGGCTCTGCCCAATCACCTGAGCGTGTGGTGTGACTGGTTATGAGTTTACGCGGGTTTACTCGGGCTGACTGAAGGACATCAAGCATCATCTGGCGATGTGACGTCACTGGTATTCAACTTAACACCAGGCGCGACAGGCCATGTTCGTCTTTATCTTTCGTACCTGTCTATTGTAAGCATTGACATGCGTAAGGAAGGCTCTGTGAAATCTCCTGAGTGTGTAATGTCACTGGTCATGAGTTCTTTATGGGCCGCTTTTTTGTACCTATAGGGTACAAGACATCAGTTGACGATATGACGTCACTGGTGTTTGACTTAATCTCAGGCGCAAACAGGCCATGTTCCATCTTGCCTTTCGCACCTCTATACTGCAAGTATTCGCGCGCTACATAAAGGCTCTGCCGAATCACCTGAGCATGTGGTGTAACTGGTCATGAGTTTACGCGGGCTTACTCGGACTGACGGAAGGACATCAAGCATCATCTGACCATATGACGTCACTGATATTCGGTCTGTGGCCCAGACTTATGACCGCTAGGCGGCGCCCTTTATTATTTAGCCATCAGGGCATTCCGGACCGTAGCTGCTCAGGGGCGCATCCTGTGATGTCGGGCGGAATAGCTTTGCATATACGTCGGTTTGTGGGCTGGGATCACCTTTGTTTTGTGTTTACGTTTGTTCAAAATTTTAGTCGTTGAAACAGCCCGTTGCGTTTGAAGCTGCTACTTAATGGTGCGCACAATAAAATTAGTGTGCTTAACTATGGTGCATCTCCCGCCTCTGCTGCGGAATTTCGTAGCCATAGGTGGCCAAGTGACCTCCTACCAACTGATGATCAGTGACGTCACGTACTCAGGTGATTCGGCGGAGCCTTCATACAGCACGCGAATATTTGCAGCAGCCAGGTACGAAAGGCAAATATGGAACATGACCTGTTGCGCCTGATGTTTAGTCGAGCACCAGTAACGTCATGCCGTCAGCCGATGCATTACAACCTATAATGGGTTCAAAAGAGCCCATAAAAAACTCGTGACCAGTGACGTCACAAACTCAGGAGATTCGACGGAGCCTTTATTCAGCACGTCAATACCTTTAATAGACAGGTACGAAAGGTAAAGAAAGTACGTGGCATGTTGGACCTGATGTTAAGTCGAATAACAGTGACGACATATCATCCTGTGATGCTTCACGGGAGGTGTTGCTTTGTGGCCTTGGGCGGCCCAAGTGAATCCGTATAAACTCATGACCAGCGACGTCACCCACTCAGATGATTCGTCTGGAGTTTAGTCGATTACCAGTGATGTCATATCGTCAGCTGATGCTTGATGTCCTTCAGTCAGCCCGAGTAAAACCTGCACAAACTCATGACCAGTTACACCACACGCTCAGGCGAATCGACAGAGCCTTTTTGTAGCGCACGAATACCTGCAGTAGGCAGATGCGAAAGGTAAAGATGAAACATGGCTTATTGCAATTGATGTTAATTCGAATACAAGTGACGCCATAACGTTATCTGATGCCTAATGGCCTGAACTCGGCCAAAAAAGGCCCGTTAAAAGCTCATGACCAGTGACGTCACACACTCAGTGGACTACCAGTGAAGTCATTTCGTTAGCTGATGCCTTATGGCTTTCGCTCAGCCAAAAATAGTCGTAAAAATTCATGACCAGTGACGTCGCACACTCAAGTGACTCGGCAGAGCCATCATTTAACGCACCAATACTTTACAGGTACGAAAGGCAAAGATGGAACATGACCTGTTTACGCCTCATGTTAAGTCAAACACCATTGGCATCACGTCGTCAACTGATGCATTTTTCCCTATAGAGGGTTCCAAGGAGCCAGAAAAAACTCATGACCAGTAACGTTACACACCCAGGAGACTCGACAGAGCCTTCATTCAGCACGTCAGTACTTGTAATAGACGGGTACGAAAGGTAAAGATAGAACATGGCCTGTCGCGCCTGATGTTAAGTCGGACATCAGTGACGTCATATCGTCAGCTGATACATTATACCGTTTGGGGTTACAAAAGGTCCCGTAAAAAGCTCTTGACAGTGACGTTACTTACTCAGGAGACTCGACAGAGCCTTCATTCAGCACGCCAATACTTCCAAGAGACAGGTACGAAAGGTAGAGATGGAACATGGCCTGTCGCGCCTGGAGTATAGTCGAATACCAGTGACGTCATATCGTCAGCTGATGCTTGATGTCCTTCGGTCAGCCAGAGTAAACCCGCGTAAACTCATGACTAGTTACACCACACGCTCAGGTAATTCGGCAGAGCCCCTATGTGTCGCGCGAATACTTGCAGTAGATAGGTGCGAAAGGTACAGACGAAACATGGCTTAGATAGAGCATGGCCTGTTGCGCATGATGTCTAGTCGAGACCTAGTGTCATCATATCGTCAGCTGATGCTTTGTGGCCTATAGTAGGTTCAGAAGAGTATTACAAATTAATGGTCAGTGACGTACACACTCAGGTAATTTGGCAGAGCCTTCCACGGCAATGCTTGCAAGGACAGGTACCAAAGATAAAGGTGGAACATGGCCTGTCGCGCCCGAAGTTCATTCGAATACCAGTGACGTCACATCGTCAGTCAGTGCCGTATGACCTTTCGCCGGCCCAAAAGAGGCCGTAAAATCTCATGACCAGCGACACGCACGTTCGAATGCCAGTGACGTCACATCGCTAGCTGATGCTTTATGGCCTTCAGTTGGCCGCAAAAAATCCGCCAATACTTGCAGCAGACATGTACGAAAGGTATAAATGGAGCATGACCTGTTGGCTGATGTTCAGCCAATACCAGTGACGTCATATCGCCAGCTGATGCCTTACGGCATTTCGTCGGTCCTAGAGGACACATGGAAACCCACGACCATTGACGTCTTACAATCGGTCGTTATAGCAGTGACGTCGTTAGCTGACACCTTGTGGTCTTCAGTTGGCCGAAAAGCACCGGTGAAACTCGTGACCAGTGACGTCACACACTCAGGTGGTTCGGCAGCTTTCATCCAGCACGCCAATGCTTGCAGTAGTCAGATACAAAGGTAAAAATAAAGCACGGCCTGTTGCGCTCAGTATTTATTCGAATACCAGTGGCGTCACGCTATCCGGTGATACTTCGTAGACCATGACACACCGTGGTCGTGGGGCCTAAGTGCACCCGTATGAAGTGATGATTAGGGACGTCACACATTGAGGTGATTCGGTCAAACCTTTATGCGGCACGCAAATGCTTGCAGCAGTCAGGTACGAAAAGTAAAGATGGAACGAGGCCGGTCGCGCCTGATGTTTAATCGAATAACAGTGACGACACATGGCCAGCTGATGCATTACGGCATTCGGTGGACCCAAAAGAGCCTTACAAACTCACGACCCGTGACGTCACATACCCAGCCGAATACCAGTGACATGTCACATTCAAAAGCCTTATGGCCTTCAGTCGGCCCGAAGGGACCCCCATCCCGATCGATGCAAAACCATTTTCAGTGACGTCACAATGTCAGCCGATGCCTCACAGCTTTCCCCCGGACGACAATACTCGAAACCCTGCAGCTAGCGTAGCTCTTCCCTCCGTCGGCCATACAGGTACCAAAGTAAAAAATTACCCGTATTCTTAGTTGTGATTGATGCTAACTGGCCCACATGTGATATGACAAAAGCACATGTGGGTTGAAACCAGTTCAGGTATTTGTGTCACACCCTATCCCGAGCATAGGTCATGGATCTGTTCACTGTGGTGCTCAATGTAAGGTGCCTTATTTTCCCTGACCCTTCCATAATAATTCTGGCAAAAGAATATGTGCTGATGCCATACATCCACACAGGGTGCTTTGGCGGCAGTATGCACATTGCCTTTAACACCACAATAACAACAATTTTTTTTGTAGAGCATCTTTGTTGTGCAGAAATTATGATATCAGATGATGTTGCCAACCTAATAAGGCCAGCAATTTCCTCATATTTGTATGAATTTAACCCAAGCTTATTTATCATTTCCTTTACCTAGGGATTGAGCATAATGAGGCCATGTATCTGAAACAGCTGACATGGCCAGCTTTATGTTTCATTGCTTTATTGTACTGTGAACATCACTGTTGGTGTGAGAACCAGTACAGTATCACAAGGTGAATCCCTATTACTATATACCCTCCATATGTTTGATCTAAAAGTCCAGTAACTGTGGCTGTCAGTGATATAAGAAATGCATAAGAGTCTGAGGAGATAGGCACAACTTGTAGGACAGAATGTGAGTGGCCCATGTCATTTCATGTTCAGAGAGAGGTTTTAGTCATGATCTTGCCAGCCCAGTGTTCCTTGATCGCGGACCCCCCTAACCAGTGCTCTTCCCCATTGCCAAATGTTGTTTACAAGTTGCAACCTATGATGTCACAGGTATGCATGTCTTAACAGCTCTTGTGCCTTAGAGTGCAGTTGCCTGTATGGTGCAGTATGCCTGTATGTTGTGTGTATGGTGCAGTTGCCTGTAAAGCCCTTGAAAATTCATAAGTAGCAACCCCATGTAGGAACATTACCAATGAATAATTGGGCCGTCATGTAGTAGGTAGTGAAGTGACCATGAGCACTGTCTCAAAATATTCAGTGTTAAGGTTCCTCATGGTGCATATCAATGTTTGCTCATTAATGCTTGACTTGTATCTCCCAGTACATCAACAAAATAACATGGTTATTTTAAAGCACACACTGACATTGATAATGAAAGACAAAAATGTATGATCTTATTTCAGAAGTAAGATTATCATGATCAGACAAATGTAAAAGCCACTGATTGAAAGTTACCAAAAGACAAAGCTTTTAAATTAGAAGTAGGTGTATGGATGTAGGTAGGTTTAGGTTAACTGGGCCAGGCAGGGTTAGGATAGGGAAGGCTAGGTTCAGTCCAGTTGGCACAGGCTGGTTTGGCCTAGTCTGGTGGGTGCCCCAGGCCACCTTGTAATTTATGCCAGCACTGGGATCTTGATGTCTCAGAATCTTTCAGAGGCGTGCCAGGCCCATGTTGGGGTCTGCACTGGTGGCATACTGGTCCATGTGGACGCCTCGCCGGGGTCATGTCGGGGGTCATGTCGGCGCCGTGCCGCTGTCGTGGCTGGTGCCCAGTGTCTGGTGTCTGGTCGTGCCTTCTACCGGTGTTGTGATGGCTCAGCACATTGTGAGGCCAATAGCCGAAGTCACTGCTGCGGTCTCTGCGTGTGCCAGCCATCCTGGCCGTGGCGTTTCGGGGAGGGGGGGGGACATTGCAATTTGTGTCATGCCAGGGCGGTGCCATTGCGTTATGTAACTGTATGCTGGCTGTGTATAGGTCATGAAGACAGTATGTATGTGCTACACCCATGTCATGGGGCAGTTTGAAACTGTCCATTACATGCATTGATGTCCATGTGGACAGGGCTGATATTGTGACAAGTCATGGCATATCGAAGCAGTATGGCGTGTTGAGCAACACCATGTCTGCCTGACATGTTTCAAATCTGACCAGTGTAAACATGGCTTGATTTCACTGACATGGTCACTTGGAATGGGGACTGCCAATATATGTAAAGTGCAGCTCACAATGCTACACAGACAGACTCTGCTGCGAGCCACCATGCTGCCCTACTTGGGAATATTCTTGTCTTGCTTTGTCTTATCCTGAGAAAATTTTAATTTTACCGATGTGGGTGCATGGCCACATCATAACAACATTTCCTCGAGGACCCTGCTGACAGTCAAGTTAAGTATACTCATTGTTGTGCTCGATATGCCTTTATACATGCGTGATTTCCAGATGGTGCTTTTAAGGGCAGCCAGAAGTAAGAACTGTGCTTCATTATTGTTAGGGCTGCACCGTCGTTAAGTTGAGCAGCAGGCTATTGAGGTTGCATATGCTCGAGCTCCCTTGAATGATGCGGTATACCGTGCGTTATATCGTAATTTTGTCGAACAAAACGGAGAAAGTCATATGCGATTAGCCTGTTAACACTGTTGCTAGTCGTGATCCATGTAGGACGTCAGACCAGTTCACCAGAACGGAATTCTTTCCGTTCGGAAACTTTCTTTCTTTCCGTTCGGCCACTCGGAATCCTTTCCGGTGTTTGAGCATGACTTTTCAACAAAACAATAAGATCCAAGGCGCGGAATACTGAGTTGTACCACTTCCGCTCACCTGCATGCCCTGTGGCGTGATAAGTAGGTATGCATGCGCATTTAGTATGTAGTATATCGCCATTGCGTATTGCCTTTCTGCGTCGGGAATCGGTAGCGTAGTAGGCAGCTGCGCGTTCAAAAAACCTGAGGTAGGAATGTCGATTCCCCGCGGTGCCCGCCCTGCCTGCCGGAGTGAGAGGAGAGGCGGTCGACACCGTGACATAGCCTCAGCAGCTGAGTGCGTCGTAAAACCCCAACGGCGACGACGGAGCGGGGAGCGGGCGTGCCGCGTCTCCGCTGTGCAGGCGCCAGCTCCGTGCCTGCGCCGCCTCGGCACGCCTTACGGGCGCGGGTCTCCCCCCAGGCTTCGAACGGCCCTCGGCGATCCAGCAGCGCGCCATCCGCCCCATCCAGAAGGGCCGCGACGTGATCGCGCAGGCGCAGTCGGGCACCGGCAAGACGGCCACCTTCTCCATCTCGGTGCTGCAGAGCCTGGACACCACGCTGCGGGAGACGCAGGTGCTCATCATGTCGCCCACCCGTGAGCTGGCCGTCCAGATCCAGAAGGTGAGCGGCCACCGCGCCGACGCAGGCGCTTCTGAGACCGGGCCGCGCAGCACCGGGCTCGTTTTTCGGCCAGCTGAAAATTTGCAAGTTAAGACACGCTTTAGTAAAGTAAAGCTTATTATGGCAGAAAATGGAATGATGAGCTGTTTTGCATGACGTATGCATTTGACGGTTTTTCGTTAGGTGTATGCCGTTGTTAACATGCCTCTGAATTTATATTTACATGTAATATATCGCCCTGTGTTTTTTACAGCATTTGATAGACGGTCAAGAACCCAATAACAGGGCATTAGTACAGCATGATCGCAACATGAGGCGGATTTACATGACTGATACATACTTGGCTACGTTAATACATAGCCTTGATTTATCACTCTACATTCAAAGTCCAGCTGTTAGGAAAAATGTAATCCATTTCCTTTTTAAGGTTTATTTTAATGGCTTTGCTTATTTGGTTTTGGGCTCAGAGCACTTGTTAGGCCTTTTTTGTTTCATGTACAACAAACCCATGATTAAAACAGTGTCCGTTTATTTTGGTCAGCCCGCCCAAGACAGGCTAATCCAATGCTTGGAGTAATTCAGCCTCTGGCCTTCCCGTCAGGTGGGAGTATGGAGAATTTGGCAGGTCAAATTATGCTGCAGTATTGCCACTTTATGCTGGCTTAACTCTGGTGGGCCAATCGCCTTCTTACCTTTGCATGGCGTGATAAATAGTGCGTCTGCTATGCAAGTCATGTCCAGTGCAACTGCTCAGTGACCACGGCAGCATTTTTGTCCTCGACGATGCAGCTGGTTTGGTGTGTGATGAGGTCTTTATAATATGTTTTAAATAAATTCGAGAGATAATAAGGGCATGTAATAAGTACCTTTAAGTACGTCAGCATACGTCATTTGGTGAATTGTGGCATTTTGCGTGCAAATGCAATTGAAGCTCATTGCAAACTGGTGCTGCTTTGCTGATTTTGTTGCATGTGTTTATGCGGTCTGACATCAGGTTATACTTTTAACAAATATTTGTGTAGTGAAGGGTTGGTTGGTTTCATGAGCAGGCGGCGACATTGGTGGTTCGGCTAAGCTTAAGTTTTAATATGCACAGGTTGGTGTCATTTTATGTTTGTTTTCCTGTCACACATGGGCACCGTACATTTATTCAGCGGTAAAAGGCGCCTTTCATTATCACTTATCAGGACGTGTGGTTTCAAATGAGCGAAGGACGTTGTGAAGCCAGATACCATTTGATGCTGCTTTCGTGAATTACCTTGATTTATTACCAACTGCACTTAGCTTGCATAATGTATCATGGCATTGCAACAGGTGGGTTGTCCGGCAACCAGATATGTCTTTTAAAGTCTGATGTTTTTCTTGCTCAATTTGTGTAAACATGAATACGGTGGATTTAACTTTTGTGGCCGTTTGTGACAACTTACCATTTCTGGCAGACTTTTCCTGTTGTTATCGTACGATTGTCCATGTAGACGGTGTCTACGTGTTTACTAGACACTAGACTTTACTGGACACCGTGCAAACACCAGCCACAATTACCATTTAATTTGGGCTATTCTCGCCCTGCTGTTTCAATTTATTCCATGGGCAATGTTTTGCAGAACTGCCACTTCCCTCCAGTTATTACTACCAGTCGTTCCTGCCAGTCAGTTTGAACTAGTGGCAGTCACCTGGCAGAGACTGTTTCAGATCGGTACTGCCAACCCTGCTGCGGAGGCGTGGTGTCGATTTTTCCAGCAACACGTTTTACTTTTTGTTGTGAGGTGGTGGTGCCTTCTCGCTCGCCGTTTGCCTCTTGTCCACGGAGAGACAGTGCCATGAAGCTGGACAGCGTGTTTGGAGTTGAACTCGACTGGGAACGTCGGCGTCCACCTCTTATCGCCGAAGCTTGGCGGCTGCCTGAACCGGTGTGCTGAACGAAATCGACCGGGGCCTTTCTATTCAATTAACTGCTCATCGCTCCCTTGGCTCTCCGCCAGCAGCGTCGCGCGACTCCGCCCCTCGTGAGCGGCCAGCACTCTCCCGTGACCCACTTCCGCCTGCTGCAGGATCACCTGCAGCCAGAGTGTGCTGACCCTCGTGGGCGCCCAGCGGCCTCCGTGACCCGCCGGCTGATCAGTGTCCGCGCCCGCTGCAGGTGATCCTGGCGCTGGGCGACTACATGAACGTGCAGTGCCACGCCTGCATCGGTGGCACCAGCCTGGGCGAGGACATCCGCAAGCTCGACTACGGCCAGCACATCGTCTCGGGCACGCCCGGCCGCGTGTTCGGTGAGCGAGGAGCGGGTCTGACGTCCCTTCAGCCCGCTGTTTCAGAGGGATAGGCGGGTGTTGGTGCTGCCTGGGACCGGTCTGGGTCGGGCGGGGTGTCGCTGTTGTTCGTTGACACGCGCAGAGGTCGGCTTGCGCGTATGCTGTGTTAGAAAACGTGCTGTAAGGTAAGTTTGATTAGGTTTTATTATTGCAGTAGTGCAAACGGCTGTGTTTTGCTAGGCTCATTGTCCTTTTGAACGCGACCTACGCTAGCGACAGGCAGGTGAACACCGCAGCAGTCAGTCCCCTTCAAATGCATGTTGTAGCTCTCATCTATCAGCCGAAGCCGAAACGCACGAAGCCGAAGCGGGATTCATTTCCATGTCTGGTGTGTTGCATTGAGCCCAGTAAGGCACAAAATCGGCTTAACTTTGACATGTTTCGCTTCACCTGATGTGTTTTGGCTTGACTGAGGACAGGTTTTGGTGCCGTCGCACGGGTCAGAAAAACAGCAATTGCATCGTCATCCAGTCTGTGTTGTTCGGTCAATAGAGTGGGTACGAAGTGCACGCTCTGCCAGGAGTTGTGCTGACGACGGCGTTGGTGGCGTAAAGGTGCACCGAGCAAGCGCAGTTCAGCGGGTACGTGGAATGAACCGAAAAGCATCCGGACGAACCACGTCATTTTCCCTGATGACTCATCATTTATCATGGCTCACACAACGTGTGCGCCTTAAGCTGCCTGCTGGGATCAATGCTGCTGTGATGTTGGCCACCATGACCTAACCTGACCTGTTCTGACCTGCTCTGTCCTGTCCTGACC